ATATTATCCAACTTCTTGACTATGTCATCAACACCAATTTCTGGGAAACCCACTCTTTGTCCAACATTCTTAACTCTATTACACAAAGCATGGTCCATCTATCTTACCTGTGAGTCACCTACAACCAGAATGTTCTTTTACTGATTAGCAAGAGAATAAGTGGTACCTTTCACCTCGATATCCACTGAACTTCACTCATCCTGGAGAACAGAGAATCAATTTTCTACCTTCAAGTCCTCTCCATTAAGCTTCCTCATCTTGATTCTTCTACCTTTAGTGGAGACCACATTCCACTTGAAGCGGCTGCACTCTTCAACTCGCTGTTGGTTACCTTTTACTCCTCTCTGTTTCCACCCTTCGCAAATTCACTCTAGACGAATTTTCAGCTTCCTATTTTCCTCTTGGAGAAGTAGAACCTCCTCCTTCAACACTTTAACCTGAGATACCAGAACACTACAGCAAGCCATGATGCTCTATAACGCTCCACACTAATCCCCCAGACAGCTAGAACAGGATGACCTTTGGTGACCACTAATCTCAGTGTTTCTGCACTAGAAAATTTAAATCCATGAGAAGTGGCCTAATGGGAAACATGGTCAAACACATCCTGAAGGAAGGCCGCTACCAAGAGACAGTCAGCACTTTCGTAAGCAATAGTGAAGTCGTCCACATAAAGTAACTACCAAATATACGATGGAAGAATGGAAGGTAGGTCATTTATAGCTAAGAGAAAAAGGGTAGTGCTAAGGAGACAACCTTGTGGGACTCCCTCGGCCTTAAAGCCTGAGGAAAGTGAGGCTCCAAGACAGACACGAAAATGCCTTTTAGATAAGAAAGTAGCAAGGAAGGTCTGTAGATTACCTTGGAGTGGGCCTGGGCAAAGATGTTATACCTCCAAGTGGTGTCATATGTCTTCTTGTGATAGAAAAAAGACAGCCAGGATGGAGTGTTTATTAACAAATGTATTTTGCACATACGTATCTAAGTGGAGCAAAAGGTCCAAAGAAGAGCGGCACTTTCAAAGGCCATATTGGCGAGGTGAGTCTCCAAATACCATATCAGACGCCTATTCACCAATCATGTCATCACCTTGCAGACTATACTGGTCAGAGCAATGGGACAATAGTGAGAGGTATCAAGCCCCTAAGTGCCTGGCTTACGAAATAGTAGTACAATGACAGATTTCCATTGTTAATGGAGAACCCCTCGCATCCAAACAAGATTGGAAAGGCACAAAAGGACTGTAAGGGCTGTAGAATGCATATGCTGTAGCATACAGATATGAATATCATCAGGCCCAGCTGCCGATGACCGGCAAGTGGAAAGCCTGGACTCTAGCTCTAAGAGAGTAAAAAGTATGTTATAAGGCTCCATCCCATTAGAAGAGAAATCCAAGGGTGATTGCTCTCTGGCAGACTTTGAAGAGAGAAAAGAGGGACAGAGGTGAAGCCATTGAGAGGCATGAACAAGATATTTCCCAATTTCCATGGCAACTTCAAGAGGTTCTGTAACACTAACATCAGCAACCCGTAAAACGGAAGCTGGGTCCAAACTGCACACATAAAGGAAGTTGAGGTAATGGAGGAAACGTAGTCTTCCAACAAGTGTATTTTGCATCGCGTATGATACGGCGAGTGACTGCCCTTGCTGCTTAAAATCCAAAAGATGATATGCGGTCGAATTATATCGATGATGGCCCCACGCAGTGCATTTGAAATGCACTGCGTGGGCACATGCAGAAGACCACAAAGGCACGCACATCTGAGAATGCCTGCCCAAGGTTTGAGGAATAAAACTGGTGCATCAGCTCATCAATAGTGGACGAAGAGAGCCCCCACAAAAAGCTGTAAGATGAGAGTATAGGTCCTAGTTCACTCGACCAAATTGCCAGCGGGGACTACGAGGTCGAGAACGTGTGGTAGAACTAAGAAGAATAGGAACGCGATCACTGTCATGCAAATCCGGGAGAAAAGACCAAGCATAATCAAATGCAGTTGATAAGGAGCAGATAGGAATCTCAATGCATGAGAGAGAGACTGAGTGCAAGAGTCAAAATTGGTTGGAGCATCCGTGTTTAAAATGTGAAGAGGATGAGAAGTGATGATGAGCATTAAAATCACCTAACAACAAGATCGGCAGTGGCAGAGAAAAGATTAAGAATGCAACTTCCGAGATGCAGAATGCACAAAAATTGGAGAGATATAGAGAGCAAACTGTATAACACCTGTGCAAATAAATATTGGCTACAGTATAATGCTGCAGAGAACAAAGACCTCTTGAAACAGAATAATGATGGTATACCAATGCGTACAAGAAGTTCACTCTCATTAAAAGTTTCACCAGGAAGGGGATCAGAAGAATGCAGCAGTACATTGCCCGATACGGGATGGATAACAGCTGAACGAACTTTAGGTTCTTGTAACTCGACACACACTCGAAAAAGTTTGGAGAAGAACATCAGGAGCTCTCCTTGATTACCTCTGAGGTAGGTATGCTAACAATGAGAAGATAAGATCTACAAGCTTGAAGGGTCAGTGAAGTCAATGTGTGGAGGCAATGGAATGCGAGTAAGCAGGGAGGCATCAGAATGTTGTGAAGGAAAAGACTGCTGCGAGAGTTGTGAGAACTAAGAAGGGGCATAAGGGGGCACACCAGTGACCATCGAGGGTTTCATCTCTGCAATATAGTCAGAGATAGTATCAAGTGTTTCAGCGGACAAGGAAGATGCCAATACCATGACTTCAGAGACAGGTGAGGAAGAAAACACATAGAGATCAGGGAGATTATAGAGGGTAGCAAAGAGGTCTAAGAGGGTGGGGGAGTATGAACCTGGTGAGATGTGTTGGCAGGGACAGAAGAGACCTATGGTGGAACAGGAGAGGAAAGAGGCTGGAAGCGGGCTGAAGAAGGAGTCTGGGGGTGAAGCAGGAGAACAGGGGACCCCACTAGGAGGAGTGAACCTCCACCTTCATGTGAGAGTTAGAAAGGTGGCGAGAACTAGGCAATGAAGCCGAAAAGGAGAACTGTTGGGGAATTGTAAGTACCAGAGGAATGCGAAGAGATTTAGGCTTAGGAGACAGGTTCAACTTTGCAGGTGATAGGCACAAAGATGGTGCAGGCGTGCGAGGCCTTTCACACTGAGAAACTAGCGGGAGTGGGGAAGCTGAAGAAATAAAGATAGGAAGAGGTAAGGAGGTGAGGGTTTCAGAGGGAGAAACCATGAATGAATGGGGGTGACCCCGGAAGACACTACACTGGAGGAGCTGGTAGGCGGGAGGACCGCCGACGTTGGAGGTTTCCTAGCTACTCAAGAATAAGGACATCGGTGGGAAAAAGAAGAGTGAGACTTGTTGCAATTAAGACAAGTGGGGAAAAACTGCAATATATATTGGCATGATCCATAGCACTGCAGACTGGGCACTCTGCCACAGACCTGCAGTATTTAGCTGGATGTCCAAAGCACCAATAATTTCGACACTGTTGGGGTGTAAGGACTACTTTTCGGACCCCTAGGTGATGTCTTGTGGTATAAACAGAGGATGGGAGTTAATGGCAGTCAAAGGGTAAGTGGGCAATGTTATTGGGAAAGTGCCTCCGCCCACAAGAGGGCAGTACTTACGTACCCACTTTGAGAATCAGGAGGTCCTGGAGGGCTAATTGCTCTAAAATATCGTCACCTCAAGACAGAAAATCACACTGTACAATGGTACCACTGCAAGAATTGAGAGTAGTGTGCCTGTGAACTGTGACAGGAACATTATCAATAGAAGTAACATGGGAAAGATCATGAGCTTGGCCTGCATTCTGAAATGTAACAATGTGCACACCACTCTGAAGAGCATGGAAGGATATATTTTGGCCAACATGTTGTAAGAGAGCGTTACCGACACTGTGGGCTGAAAGATAATCAATAGGAGATGTCGGTTGCTAGGAAAAGAATTTAGTTCCCTGTGTAATTGTAAACATGGTGCATAAAGGAAGTGGATGTCATGTAGGTCGTTTCTGGGTGGAATGAGCAGAAATCGAAGAACTGTCATCAGCAAATGGTTTGGAACATTTAGGAATTGGACCTGAGACAGGTGGTCAATCTGAAAACCATCGCACTGTATTTGGGGAAACCAGATGCAAAGCTAAAGACGTACAAGGGACAGAGGAATTATAAGAAACAGGTGGAGCCTCGGCACGTGGAGCAGGTGATGAAGCGTCATAGCAGAAGGTACAGCAGTATGGGAAAAGTCTAGAGAATGGTCCATTAATGAAGCAGGGTCAAAACAGGATGCAATAACAAAAAGGGGCCTGGGAGGAGGAGGGAGGTCAAAGAATGAGGACTCCATGGTAGTGGTACACCTTTCTTATTATTATTTTCTGAAAAAAAAGAAAGAAAAGAAAGAAAGAGGGACAGTGGAGGGACAGTTATTAAAAGGCATGAAAAGGCCATTAGTTCCTCTCCTCATCCAAGAGGATCTAGACACCAACAGCAGCACAGATGCAGTGTGGAACCTGTGCCATAACCAACCCTCACGCCAGTAAATCAGTGCTCTGGGATAGCAACCCCACATCCATCGAGCCACCTCAGCAGACAAAAGAGAAGGCGGTCGGATACCCGTCACAACGCATACCTCCCTTGGCTGCCACCTCCCAGAACAGACAAGCAGCCTCCAGAGATACAACTGCCACCTGCAATACACCCCACCCCGCCTCCTGAAAATCCAGGAAGGGAGTAGGGCGCCTCCAGGCAATCCAGATTCCACGGCAAACTACACCACTCCCGAGGGACCCCATGGAGTGGAATGAAGCCCGGCGCACTTCCCCTTACAAAGAAACCATAATCCCAGAGGGGAGGACCCCAGAAGCTACAAACAGGGTGGGGAAAAGGGTGGGATGGGAGGGGGGAGGAAAGGGAAAAGGGGGGGGGATGGAGACGATTGGATAGGAAAGGAGGATTGGAGGTAATTAGGTTCGGTCTGAGGAAGAAGACCAAAAGGTCCAATTCCTCAGACCAATAGCCTCTTTACCGTGACAAGGAGACCCCCTTAAAGAGGCCAGATATGAGAAACCCACTATATTCCAGGTTTTCAGAGACACTGGAATACACTCATTTATTATCCAGACTTTCACAGGTTACTCATCATCTACAGCTTCTGTAAAAGAGGAACCTGACAGTCGCTGCAGAGATCTCTTGAATCGCAGATGCAAGAGATCTTAGTTATCAACAAAGATGAGTGGCTTTTCTTGTCATACATCTCCTGTTATCATGCAGAAAAGTGTAATTATCTAACAAGTTCCTCTACAGTGTCGGTGCGTTGATAAAGTTGTGGTGATGATGGTGACATCATGGTGATAATGGTGACGTCATGGTGATGATGGTGACAGTATGGTGTACCCCTACAGGTGTGAGAATGTCAGCAGCAGCAGTGACAGCAGCAGCGTTGACGTCACTACCCAGCACACACAAGGTGACGCTTGAACTGACTGACGTGAGTGATGATATAGTGAGTCATGCCTGTGACCTGGTCCAGGAGCTACAACCACCAGGAGGGTGAGTCCTTCACTGTTGTTCTTCTGTTCCCTTCAGTGTTGATGTACCTGGTGTTTAGTGCTATGAATGACACTAATGTGAGTGACACTGATGGGAGTGACACTCTTGTGAGTGACACTGTTGTGACACTGGTGTGAGTGACACTAATGTGAGTAACACTGTTGTGAGTGACACTGTTGTGACACTGAGTGACACTGATATGAGTGACACTGATGTGATTGGCACTAGTGTGAGTGACACTGATGTGAGTGACACTAATGTGAGTGACACTGGTGTGAGTGACACTGGTGTGAGTGACACTGATGTGAGTGACACTAGTGTGAGTGACACTGGTGTGAGTGACACTGGTGTGAGTGACACTGATGTGAGTGACACTAGTGTGAGTGACACTGGTGTGAGTGACACTGGTGTGAGTGACACTCTTGCGAAAGTGTTGTCAGTGTCACTGTTGAGAGTGATACTGTTGTGACACTGAGTGACACTTTTTTAAGTGACACTTTTGTGATTGACACTATTTGAGTGACACTTGTGAGTGACAGTTACGTGAGCGAGACTTGTGCAACACTTTTTCTCCTGTTTTACATCCTCCAGAGGTTCCTAACAACCCTGTGATGGTCTAGCAAAGACTCACATAACACTAACATACGTGGAGACCCAGAATGATGTAAATCAGCAGCAGAAATCACCCAGATATACGCAATATTATCAACTAAAAAGACTTGTATTACCACCACCTACCCAACTGCTATGCGAAGTGAAATTTCTCAATATCTGCCCATTACCCATTGCCAACAAATTATCTGAAGCTACTGTTAACATAAGAACATAAGAAAGAAGGAACACTTCAACAGGCCTCCTGATCTATGGGAAGCAGGTCCATGTTCCCCTCCCCAAATAGCCCAATGACCCACCTAGTCAGGTCACTTCCACTTAAGGAAGGAGCAAGGCATCAGACCTAGTAGGACAAGCTAGTCAGGCCCAACTCACACACACCCACACCCACTCATGTATTTATCTAACCTATTTTTAAAACTTCACAACGTTTTAGCCTCAATAACTGTACTCGTGAGTTTGTTCCACCCATCCACAACTCTATTGCCAAACCAGTGTTTTCCTATATCCTTCCTGAATCTGAATTTTTCCAACTTGAAACCATTGCTTCGAGTCCTGTCTTGGCTGGAAATTTTCAACACGCTATTTACATCCCCTTTATTTATTCCTGTTTTCCATTTATACACCTCGATCATATCCCCCAAATTCTATGCCTTTCAAGAGATTGCAGATTCAGGGCCCTCAGTCTATCCTCATAGGGAAGATTTCTGATACATATGACCAACTTTGTCACCCTCCTCTGTACGTTTTCCAGAGCATTTATATCCATTCTGTAATACGGTGACCAGAGCTGTGCAGCATAATCTAAATGAGGCCTAACCAAGGATATATAGAGTTGAAGAACAACCTGAGGACTTCTATTATTTATACTTCTAGATATGAAGCCAAGGATTCTGTTAGCTTTATTGTGAACACTAATTAATGCACTGTTGTCTTGGTTTTAGATTATTGCTAACCAGAACTCCTAAATCCTTTTCACAATCAGTAGTATTAAGATCTACATTATTTAGTTTATATGCGGCATGGTTATTTTCCTGTCCAACATTTAGAACTTTGCATTTGTTAATATTAAACTGCATCTGCCACTTCTCCGACCATTGCATTAGTCTATTCAAATCATCCTGGAGTGCTCTAGTGTCCTCATTAGAATGAATTGGCCGGCCTATTTTGGTGTCATCAGCAAATTTGCTTATGTCGCTATTTATTCCATCATCTATGTCGTTTATGTAAATTGTGAACAACAACGGGCCCAATACTGACCCCTGCGGAACACCGCTTGTGACGTGCCACCATTCTGATTTCTCCCCATTTATGCAAACTCTCTGCTGCCTTTTTGTCAGTCATGCCTCTACCCAGGAAAAAATTTCTCCTCCTATTCCGTGTGCCTTAAGTTTCCTCAATAGCCTCTGATGTGGAACTCTATTGAAAGCCTTACTGATGTCCGTATACACAATATCATATTCATTACCATGTTCTACCACAATGGCTAGAGGGTCAGGGCAATGAAAGAAGATCCAGTAACCATCCAGGACTCGTAACACTACAGGTAAGGGAAGCATTACTACGTGTACTACCAGCCAGAAGGATGCAACCCTCACCACCCATTGCCACCCCCACAACACTCGCCAAACAACAAGAAACATGGCCACCGCCACAAACATTGAAGATAATTTCTTCCATAGATTAGATAATTTAAATATTAAAGATGCAGAAATAGCTAAATTCATCAGGATCCAGAGTACAAAAATCAACAAGTCATCTCTGGAAATGCTGGAATTTAAAACCTCAAATGACATGTTAACTCGGGAAATTAAGGAACTACAAACCTCCAACACACAGTACCTCGGCAAGATCACAACTCTGGAACAAACATTGACCATATCGCTCTCGGGCCATGTGGTTGTGCTGCGCACATGCTCCTGGTTGAGAGGCCTTCCTGCGCAGTTTGATTTTCTCAAGATGGCACAGAATACAAGAAGGCATGTCAACACTGTGTGCTTTGATTTAGTGCGGGGTGTAGTTACACCTCAGTCCACACAGGTGATTCTACCTATGATTATTCACGACACATACGGCATTGCTAATCAGAATCTGTATGGAGTATCACTCAATGGGGCTTACCGGATATTCGTCAAGCTACGATCGATGGCAGTGTATGAACGCCTGGTGGAGAAGTATCAAGATGGCTGTGTGGACGTTAACTCGGCAATACGAGTTCGTCTCATTCATGTGACGAGGCAGACCTAAGGAACGTTTTTGAACGTTACGGTACTGTTCACCTGGCAACAGCAGGTACTTGGGCGGATGGGGCATATGCCGGCTTGCCGGAAGGTACGTTCAACCTGAAGATGATGCTGAGGCATTCTATCCCATCGTTTGTCATCCTAGAAGACTTCCGGACACAAGTTATGGTGTATTATACAGGGCAGCGCAAGACTTGCAGGCTATGTGGCACTTATGACCATATAGCAGCCCAGTGTGGGAGACAGCAGCAAAGACAGGATGCAGGCAGAGGGACGGAGCGAGGGCCTGACCCGATGGCGGGGCCTGTCAGCGGGACACCTGTAAATGGCCATGGTTCTTCTTGGGGCGAGGAGGCGGAGAGAGAGTTCCCGATGGTGGGGTTGAGCCCATCAATGCCTGTAGGCTCTATGGTCTCCACTTCAGTGGAAAGGGAGACCAGGCTGAGTGGCGAGGAACGAGCGGAGGATGTGGCTTTAGAGCAGTTGACGGACAGATTCTTGGAGACGACTAGAGCTGGGGATGATGTACAGTCGGTGGAAGGACCAGAGGAGAGCGATGACGAGAGGAGAGGCAGTCAACTGACTGCGGGTTCCACTTCTATGGGAGTGTTGACCATGGTTGAGGTGGCAGTGGAGGTGCATAGTGAGGCACCTCCCGACCAGAACATGGATGCAGAGAGTGTTCGGCGAAAGAGGGCGGCAACGCACTCTGATTCCGATGATGTCTTGACCCCAGCGCAGAGGCTGGGGAAGAAACCGTGGGCTGACGTGGTGAGTGGAGGCGCCACATGTGTGTCCAGTCAGGTGTTCGACCGGGGGGGGGGAATCGTGCTCACAGTGGAGAGCATGGTGGGAAAAGTAGGAAGGCTGGTAATGCGCCTATGAAAGGAGTTTCAGGGCAACATGTAAAACCCTTCACGAATGTTTCAGGTGTATGACTGTAAATGTAAATGGGATGTGTGTGGATGTGAAGCGTTTGTGGCTCCAGGGGTTTTTGAGGTATTATGCCATAGATATTGTGTTTGTGCAGGAGCATAATTTTAAGGTTGGTCGGGATTTGAATGTGGCTGAATATCGTGTGTTTGTGGCATATTCGGAACGTTTGAAAGGCGGGGTTGGGATTCTGATTCAGGAGATGAACCCATTTGTTGTAATTAGATGTGAGGGAGGGGAGGAGGGTAGAGTACTCCAGGTAGATGGATGGTGGAGGGGTGAGCGACTGGCAGCGGTTTGTGTGTATGCGCCGGCGGAGTGTGATGTACGGGTGAAGAATGAGTTTGTGCATGATGTTTTGATTTATTATTTGCGATCTCTTCCCTCAGTAACGATCGTAGGCGGTGATTGGAATTGTGCAGTACGTAGAAAGGATGTGGAGCCACGGGGGGCAGGGTGTTTTTTGGTTAGCCTAAGGGATCTTTTGCTGGGCGTGGGGTTAAGGGATGTTATTGGAGGTGGGGGCCTGATGGTTGAGCATACGTTTCATAGATGGGGATACGCTGCCAGGCTAGATAGGTTATATGTGACGAGAAATGTGCGGGTGATGTGCGTGCGTATGGTAGATGCTGTATACATGGATCATAGAGCTGTTTATGTGGACTTGACATGGGCCAGCTTGCCTAAGAGGTATCCAGGGTATTGGAAGTTAAATGTGAGACTTCTTGGGGTGGAGGAGGTGGGGTTAGATTTTGGGACAATGTGGGAGAATTTGTGGGGAGAGGGTAGGGATGTGGGTGACTTGCTGGGGTGGTGGGATGGGGTAGCTAAGGAGAGGATCTGGCAGTTTTATGTGCAATGGGGAAAGTACCAGGGTTGGATGATGTACGGGTTGCAGCAGTATTTCGAGGGTAGGTTGCAAGGTTGTTATGAGAGGGGCATGCAGGCAAGGCAGTATCCCATGGAGGAAATCGAGTTGTTAAAAGGGAGGATTCGAGATTTGCAGAATGGCAAATTTGATGCGGTGAGAGTGCAGGGTGGATTTGAAGAGGTGGTGTGGGGTGATCGCCCATCGGCCTATGTGTTGCGGGGACAGAGGCAGTGCCGTATGGCTATGGAAATTGATAGGCTGGTGGTACATGAGGATTTAGGTGGATATAGGGTGGGACAGGAGTTAAGAACAACGGAGGCGATGAGTGATTACGTGGATAG